ACCAAAGCGAGCAAGCTCTCTCCTCTCACTCTCCGCTGTGTCTTCCTGGGCTTCCCCACTGACGCTCCACCCTGGCAGTTCTACCACCCTGCCTCGCGTCGTGTTCTGTCCTCTCAGGACGTCACCTTTGATGAGTCGGTCTGTTACTACCGACTTCACCCGCACGCGTCCCACCCGGTCCCCCTTGCACCCCTCTTCCTGGTACCAGTCCCCCCCCCGGTAGACCCCCTCCCCCCACAGGGTCCTGCTCCCTCACGTGTGTCCCAGGTAGACCCACCCCCCTTGGATGAACCAGTTGAGATCTCTTCTGACTCCTCTGACTCACCTGAGGGGGGTGACGCCGTCGCCGACGACACGGCGACCACTCGCCACACTCCTCGCTTGGCGACCCCCCCGGGTTTCCCGCCACGGCCGTCTTCGCCGCCTCCGTAGCCTGCTGCTGTGGACTCTGGAGCTGAGACTACTGGAGCTGGGGCTGGGGGTGGTGAGTCTGGGGGTGCCCGCTCTCCTCGTCTGGCTACCCCCCCCCGGGTTCCCACCTCTGCCGTCTTCGCCGCCTCAGCAGCCTACTGCTGTGGACACTGGAGTAGAGACTAAGGGTGCTGGGACTGGGGGTGTTGGGACTGAGGGTACTGAGCCTGAGGGTGCTGGGACTGAGGTGTTGGGACTGAGGGTACTGAGCCTGAGGGTGCTGAGACTGAGGGTGCTGAGACTGAGGGTGCTGGGACTGAGGGTGCTGAGCCTGAGGGTGCTGGGACTGAGGATAATGAGACTTTGGGTGCTGACTCTGGGGATGCTGAGACTTCGGGTGCTGACTCTGGGGGTGCTGCGAGTCCTTCTGGAGGTCCTGGAGCTGGAGGTACTGGAGCTACTATGCCTGGAGGTCCTACCGGAGGTACTAGAGGTACTACTGGTGCTGGAGGTACTGGAGCTGCTGCTGGTGCTGGAGGTGCTGGAGCTGGAGGTACTAGAGCTGCTTCTGGTGCTGGAGGTGCTAGAGCTACCACTACTGGAGGTACTGGAGCTGGACAGCCACCGCAGCCTACTCTACTTGAGACGCTCTCGTCGCAGGCGATTCGTGCGTGGGTCGTTCTGCGAGGCAGTCCTGGTGGTGGAGGGTACGGTCCTGCTGGTGCTGGAGCTACTAGTCCAGGAGGTGCTGCTGGTGCTGGAGGTGCTGGAGGAACTACTGGAGGTACTAGAGGTGCTGCTGGTGCAGGAGGTACTGGAGCTGCTGGTGCTGGGGGTACTAGAGCTGCTGCCGGTGCTGGAGGTACTGGAGCTGGTGGCACTGGAGGTGCTGGTGCTCCTGGTGCTGGAGCTGCGGGAGCTGCTGACCTTGGAGGTGCTGGTACTGCTGGTGCTGGAGGTGTTGGAGCTGGAGGTACTAGAGGTGCTGGAGCTACTGGTCCCGGAGGTGCTCGTACTGGAGGTGGTGGAGCTGCCGGAGCAGGTGGTACTGCTGGTGCTGGAGGTGCAGGAGGTGCTACTGGAGCTGCTGGCACAGGAGGTACTGGAGGTACTACTGGTGCTGGAGGCGCTGGAGCTGGAGCTGGAGGCACTGGAGGTGCTGGAGGTACTACTGGTGCTCGAGGTGCTGGCGCTGTCGGAGCTCGTGGTGCTGGAGGTGCTGGTGCTACTGGTGCTGGAGGTGTTGCTGGGGGTACTGGAGGAGCTGCTCGTGCTGGAGGTACGGGAGCTACTGGTGCTCTTCGCCACCTTCTCAGTCTTCCGCCAGGTGCTACTGGCTTCCCTGTGGCAGGTACTACTCCTCCGTTGCTGTGTCCGCCAGCGGACCAGTCACAGCCACCGCTGCTACCGCACTCCCCACTGCCTGCTCCTGCTCCTTACACTGTGGTGTCACAGTCCCTGACTGAGCATCGAGAGCCTGAGACTCGTGCTTCCACCCCTGAGCGTCGAGAACCTGAGTCTAGCTTTGACCTTGAGCATGAGCCTAGAGCTGCTGTCCGTGCTCGCGTTCCTCGTGTTCGTCGTCCGCGTGCTCCGGCTGTCCCCGGCACTCACGATATGACACTCCGTCCTTCCTCTGTTCCTCAGCGTGTTGTACTATCGTTACCTCCTGCGTCCTCTCTGCCTGACGTTGCTGACCCTCCGTCTGACCTTGCTCGTGCGTCCAGTCCGACTGTTACTCGCCTTCTTGCTACGGTTGTGACGGACCCTACGTTCTCGTCTCCTGCTGCGTCTGCCCTAGTAGCTGAGCTTGTTGACTTTGCTGCTGTGTACCGCCTAGACTACCTTGCGAATCTTGTCTCTTACCCTGTCCCTGCCTGTCCTCCGTCCGTCGGGGGTGAGACTGCTCTTGGCTGTACTGCCCGTGGCTGTGACGTTCTTGAGGACAGACAGGAGGAGCTGGAGTGCCTTGCTGCCGCTTCACCCCATCACGCGACCATGCTGCTTGCCCCTGAGGGAGACCCGGATGCACTTGACATCCCCACCCCGCGCTCCTACAGGGAGGCGATTTCGGGTGAGTACTCCTCTCAGTGGCAGACAGCCATGGACGCAGAGATGGCTTCCTGGAAGTCCACTGGCACCTACGTCGACGAAGTTCCCCCACCTGGGGCGAACATCGTCAGTGGCATGTGGATTTTCAGGGTGAAGCGGCCGCCGGGTTCTCCGCTTGCCTTCAAGGCACGTTACGTTGCTTGAGGCTTCAGTCAGCGTGAGGGGGTCGACTTCTTTCAGACCTTCTCCCCCACCCCGAAGATGACCACTCTTCGGGTGTTGCTACACGTTGCAGCTCAGCGTGACTACGAACTGCACTCCCTCGACTTCTCGACAGCTTTCTTGCAGGGTAGCCTTCACGAGGCCATCTGGTTGTGCCGTCCACAGGGATTCACTGGGTCGTTTCCTGAGGGTACCCAGTGGAGCTTATGACGACGAGTGTACGGCCTGCGTCAGGCGCCCCGTGAGTGGCACGACACACTGAGGACGACACTTGCGGCTCTTGGGTTTGCTCCTTCGACAGTTGACCCATCGCTGTTTCTACGCACCGACACTACTCTGCCGCCGTTCTACATCCTCGTGTACGTCGACGACTTGGTTTTTGCTACTGCTGACACTGAGGCACTGGCCCTAGTGAAGGCAGAGCTGCAGGAGAGACACACCTGCACTGACCTGGGTGAGCTGCGGAGCTATCTTGGCTTGCTGATCACCCGGGACACACCACGGCGCACCATCACCCTCACTCAGTCACACATGGTGCACCAGGTCCTTCAGCGCTTCCGTTTCACTTGGTCCTCGCCACAGCCTACTCCTCTGTCTACCGGCCACTCGCTCTCAGCTCCACCTTCGGACGAGTCCGTAGAGCCGAGTGGTCCGTACCCAGAGCTTCGTCATGTACCTGATGACGTGCACACGACCTGACCTCGCGTACCCTCTCAGCCTCCTGGCTCGCTACGTGGCACCTGGTCGACACCGAAAGGTGCACTTTGATGCTGCGAAGAGGGTACTGCGTTACTTGTGTAGCACATCGGGCATGGGGCTCGTGCTTGGAGGACGGGGTTCGGTGGTCCTCACAGGACACTCTGACGCTTCTTGGCCCGACGACCAGACGACTCAGCGTTCGTCACAGGGTTACACCTTCAGTCTTGGCTCTGGTTCTGTCTCGTGGAGGTCCACTCGTTCTTCTTCTGTGCTTGGTTCCAGCTGTGAGGCCGAGATCTACGCTGGGGCCATGGCTGCACAGGAGCTACGCTGGCTGACCTACCTGCTGACCGACTTGGGGGAGCGGCCTCGTTCTCCTCCGGTTCTGTACGTCGACAGCAAGGCAATGCTTGCCTTGTGTCGCGAGCAGAGACTGGAGCACAGAACGAAGCACATTGCTCTTCGCTACTTCCTTGCGTGTGAGCTGCAGCAGCGTGGTCAGCTGCGCCTTGCTTACGTGGCCTCTCGGGCCAACACTGCTGATGTCTTCACCAAGGCCCTTGGGGCTGGTGATCATCACCGTTTCTGCACTGCTCTTGGGCTTGTGCCCACTCTGCCTCACCTGTTGGTTGCTTGACTTGCTCTTGTTGTACACTGCTATATATCTTTATACCTGCATGTTTTCTCTTGCTAGGTTGTGATCAGTGTACTGCCTTGCTATTATATACCTCTGCATGTGAACTGGCCTTGTGGCCAGTTGCTTGGGCTCAGAATGCGTGGTGACTTTGTGATCCACCCTGAGTTGTGTTCTCTTCTGCAGACTGGTCTTGTGACCGCTTGTTGTGTTTGCTGTCCCCTACTTTGCCTATGGGGGTGTGTCAGATTACAATTGTATCTCTAGGCTACAGTAGGGTCACTCCTTAGTGAGTACAACACTTTAGGGTTAGGTTTCCCCTACTTGTACTCACCTCTTGCATAGTTCAATCATCATTCATAGTTCTATTCTTGACAGTACGCTGTTCAGAGTAACACTCACTATTGAAATAGTTACGCATAACCATCACTATGGCCTAAAACATTACCTTGTATCAGGGAAAACCCGATCTAAAAAAAAAAAAAAAAAAAAAACAATTGCTATCAGTGTGACATATAAATGTTTACCCTGATATTAGTATATAAATGTATTTTATACCAGTAAAATAAGTCATGGCTACTACCATACTTCGGGAATGCTTACACAACATTACGACTATTCCAAATAATATGGAAGGATGGCCTATGGTCCTTCCTGAGAGAACCATTCACCATCCGTCTTTTAAGACCTCCAAGGGCTTGCTTTAGCGCCATTCCCCTCTCCAATATTTCAAAGTCTTGTTCTGTATATATTCCTAAATATAGAAAAGTGTTACGTAGGCCGCTGTGTTCCATGTCGCTGGATCTCGCAGCTGTTTTCGGCAATCATCCACTTTCGCTGGCCAATCACAACTCTCGCCCCAACCAGCCCTTCCGAAATCCGCGATCGTAGTTCCTACTGTAACACAAACCCTCCCCTCCCCAGCACCATTCCACCCAGTGACCAAGCCACTTTTCCGCTGCCACGTGGCAGGTGAAATCGCATGGGCGACACGGGCTCAGCGGCGGTCTCGGCCAATGAGGATCCGCCTGTTGCGTGCGCTGCGGCTGCAGAAACGCCGGAGGTAGCGGCTCACCCGCTGTCCTTCCCGGACGCGCGGGCGCGAATCACCCACGTGATATTTGACCTGGACGGCACGCTCATTGACTCGGGTTAGTAGGACGGTACAAAGGGACGGCATGACTTTGAGTCGACTCAACCGGCTAAGATTTAGTCGCCTTTAAGAATTCTCAAAAGCGACTCAGAGTTAGTGGGACGGTTTGACTTTTGAGGCGACTCAAAAGAGACGGTAAAAGTAAAAGAGAAAGGGTTTCCATTGTTGTATAATTAATCGGAATGGATGGTGAGACGCATTTCGTGAGACCAAAAAACTGCTTTTGAGTCGACTCAGAAAAAAATGCCTGGTGAGTCGCATTTTGTGAGACGACTTGACTTTTGAGTCAGACTCAAAAGTGTGTCGCCTTCTGTGAGACGACTCAAAATGCAACTCCCAGCCCTAGGTGACCTGTTGAGTCGGACGGTTGAAGGGAGAGGAAAGGGTTACCATTGTGGAGTACACTCAAAAAGCTCTAGCACTTAACTTTTTTAGTTAAGAGTCTTCACGCTTGACTTGAGTGAGTTGAACGTTCAAGCAGAGTGGGAGAGGGCATTCGAGTCACGTCCTTCGGCATTCGTAACAATAGCGTGAAGATTCGCTTGGGTCTTTTTTCTGTTAGTCGACTCCACGCCAAGGTGCCTTTTGAGTCGACTCAGGAAGAGACACCTCGACGCAAAGTCGTTGCGCTGATTGACTGGGCTGAGTAGGACGGTGAAGGCTGGAGGCAGGAGGGAGTTGGGAGTTGGGAGTTGGGAGTCGAGAGTTGGGAGTCGGGAGTCGGAAGGCGACAGGCGGAAGGCGGCAGGCGGAAGGCGGCAGGCGAGAGTGAACGGGGGGAAGGGAACGTGCCATGCCTTATTCCCTCTTTCTATCCCCAATGCCCTCTTTCCTTCCACTTCTCCTCTTGCTTCCCCCTCGGTTCCGCTTTTAAGTACACACGCCCTCCCACCTCCCCCAATCTTTTCTCCATCCTCCCTCACCATCCCTCCCCCATCCTCCCCCCATCCTCTCCCCATCCTCCCCCCATCCTCCCCCCATCCTCCCCCATCCGCCTCCCAGAGAGAGTGGTGACGGAGGCATCAAGGGAAGTGGTGGAGTCGCACGGCAAGGCGTGGACGGGGGAGGGCGCGGAGCAGTGCATGGGGAGGCTGCCTATCGAAGGGGCGAGGGTGACCTTCCTTCCCCCATCCTTCCTCCATCCTTCCCCTATCCTCCCCCCCCATCCTTCCCCCATTCCCCCTCCCCGTATCTCCCCCCATTCCCCCTCCCCCCATCCCCCCTGCGTCCCATCCCTCCCCCCCCCCTCCCCCCATCCTCTTTCCAGAGAGAGTGGTCACGGAGGCATCAAGGCAAGTGGTGGAGGGGCATGGCAAGGCGTGGACGGGGGAGGGCGCGGAGCAGTGCGTGGGGAGATTGCCCATCGAGGGGGCGAGGGCGACCCTCCTTCCCTCGTCCTTCTCCCATCCTCGCCCATCCTCCCCCCATCCTTCTCTCATCTTTCCCGCATTCTTCCCCCATCCTCCCCCCATTCCCCTCCCCCCCCCCCATATCTCCCCCCCATCCTCCCCCCCCTCCCTCCCACCCACCCCTCCCCCCGTATCTCTCCCCCACCCTCCGTCTCAGAGAGAGTGGTGACGGAGGTGGCAAGGGAAGTGGTGGAGGGGCATGGCAAGGCGTGGACGGGGGAGGGCGCGGAGCAGTGCGCGGGGAGGCTGCCCATCGACGGGGCGAGGGCGCTGGTGCAGCTGTATGGGCTGCCGTGCTCCCCTGAGGGGTTCCTGCACACGCTACTAGAGAGGCTTCAAGGCAGGTGGGGTGGGGGGGGCGGAGCTGGGCTGGGAGGAGAAAGGAGGTGGGAATGGGAGAAGGGAGAGGGGAGCGGGGGGGAGAGGGGAGAGGGAAGAGGTGAGACGGGAGAGGGAAAAGCAGAGAAGGGGAGAGAAAGGGGTAACGGGGAGGGGAGAGGGAAGCAGGGATGCATGGGAGGGGAGGGGAGGTGGAGGGCTAAGTTGCCAAATACGCTCAGGACACTGTGCGTTTAGCGGATATACGCTAGCGTTTACACGCTAAACGCTAAACGCAAGCTAATACGCTATACGCTTGCCAATTTTTTTTTGGGGCAGCCCGACCGAAAAAAATGTGAATATACGGAAAGATGCGGAATTGCACGACGAGCATTTTGCCACCGTCAAAATTCGCGTCCGCGATTTGTGCAAGAGTGAACGGCAATTTCCGCGCTGATCGGCAATTTCCCTTCCCCGCAGATCCGCGCGGATCGAAGATTCTTCCCGCAGAAGGGATGGGGGGAAAGACTCTCCCTAGATCAACGTCTTGTAGATCTGGACTGGAAGTGACGTGACGACTGTACAAATTTCAAATATCAAATTGGTTGGATGAGATAGATGCAATGCGGTGAAGATAGGTGATGGGAGGGGGAATTGGTTGGAGGCAACATTGGCGATGGGTGTGGGGTACGACGAATTCCAACATTGGCGATGGTTTCCCTGTCCAGGATCTCTCCTACGCCTCCTACACTCTAGCAATCATGCCTTGTGATTGCGAGCCCGAAGCAGAGCAGATTCGCGCAACGCTATTGCAGTCTATAGCCTACGAACTCTGCATCTTAACCCGATTTCGGGCCGAGTCGAGGGTGGTTATCTTAGTATGGAGAAAAACTTACCTCTGAAACATAACCCCTTAGATCCCCCCCCTATAATAGCCCGGGCGGATTTTTTTCCCTGCCCGGGAAAGTTTTTTCCCTGCCCCAAAAAGCGTATGTTCAAATCGCTCCCTTACGCGTATAGCGTATATACGCTAGCGTATATACGATACGCGTATGTACGCTATAAGCTTATTTGGCAACTTAGGTGGAGGGGAGAGGGAAGCAGGGATGCATGGGAGGGGAGGGGAGGTGAAGGGTATGGGGGACAGGTGTGGCGAGGGCAGGGAAAAAAGGGGAGGGAGGAGAAGAGAGGGCAGTGAAGTGAAGGAGAGGGGAGAGGATGCGAGGAGACACGATGAGCGGTTGGAAGGTGGATTGTTTGAGGCTGTTTCTGTCTAGTTATAACGCCTGTCCCTGTATCTCCCCCCCTCGCCCCTTCCTGCCTGCCTTTGCCCTCATCCCCCCTCCCTTTTCCCTCATCCCCCTCCCTTTGCCCCTTCGTCCTTTGGCCCCCCTTCCCCTCGCTTTTCGCATTTGCCCGGTTATTTCTCACTTCGGTTATTTCCTCCACTTTCCGCTTCCCCCCCTGTCTTCGACCATTTTTTTATTCCCCCTCTCCTGGTTCTCTACCTCTCCCACCCCTCCTCTTCTCCCCCTCCCCCCCCTCTCCCTCCCCCTTCCCCCCCTCCCTCCCCTTCCTCCCCCCTCCCTCCCCCTCTCCCCCCTCTCCCTCCTCTCCTCCTCGCCTCCTCCTTCCTTTGCCTGCTCGTCGCGTTGCCGTCTCTTCCAATTTTGCCCTTCTCTTCTCACTCCTTTCCCTCGCTTTTCCTCCACTTTCAGCTTTTACCCTCTTCGATCGTTTTCCGATTCCCCTTCTGCTTCGCTACCTCTCTCACCCTGCTCCTCCCCCTCTCCCCCCACTCACCCACTCTGCCCCTCTCCCGCCCTGCTCCTCCCCCTCTCTCCCCACTCTCCTGCCCTGTTCCCCCCTCCTTTCCCCCCAATCTCCCCCACGCCCCCCCGCTTCCCCCCCCCGCCCCCCGCTTCTCCCCCTCTCCCCCCTCTCCCCCCCCTTCCCCTCCCGTGCCCCCCGCTTCTCCCCCTCTCCCCCCTCTCCCTCCCCTTCTCCTCCCCCGCGCCCAGGTGGCACCAGGCTAAGTCCTTGCCAGGGGCCCATCGGCTGCTCTCCCATCTCACGGCAGCGCACGTGCCTGTAGCCCTCGCCTCCAGCTCACCGCGCGGCATCATTGCCACCAAGCTTGCCCTTCAGCCAGGCGGGTAACCTTTTGTGCGCGTTTAGGGGGAAGGGGTTGGGGGGTGCAGGAAGCGGGAAGCGGGAAGCGGGAAGCGGGAGGGTGGGAGGGAGGGGGTGGAGGGGGAAGGGGATTGGGGGGAAGGGAGGGATGGAGTGCTAGAGTTAGTTTGTGTTTGCACAGGGGAGTGTTGGAAAGGAAATGGGCCAGGGGGGAGGGCAGGAGAGAGGAAAAGGGAGGGGGGGAAAAGGGGAGCGGATGGGGAGGGAGGGTGCCCTTGCCGTTGGTTGAAATTCGAGACGTCTCAAAAGTCCCTTGCCCTTGCCCATTCTCTTACCCTTGCCCTTGCCCTCGCCCTTGCCTTTGCCCTTGCCCTTGCCCTTACCCTTTCCCTTGCCCTTGCCCTTGCCCTTGCCCTCGCCCTTGCCTTTGCCCTTGCCCTTGCCCTCGCCCTTGCCTTTGCCCTTGCCCTTGCCCTTACCCTTTCCCTTTCCCTTGCCCTTGCCCTTGCCCTTGCCCTTGCCCTTGGCTGAAATCTGAATTTTGGATGGGAAGGGAGGGTTCTCTTGCTCTTGATTTCTTTTGTTCCAGACACTGTTTGAGTCTTCACTTGTTGTATCATTCCTCTTGCCACTCGGCTTTCTCCTCCAACTGGCAGACACTGTTACCTTCCGTCTCTCTTGCTGGTGTGCCGCTCTGTTCGTTGTCACATGGCATGGCACGGCATGGCACGTATGGCATGGCATGGCACAGCACTGCATGGTATGGCATGGTAGCATGACATGGAATGGCATGGTATGGCATGGTACTATGCCATGCTATGGTATGGCACGGCATTGTGTGGCATGATATGGCGTGGTGTGGATGGGTGTGGGGCATCAGGATGGCAGGAGCTGTTTGCAGTGACAGTAGCGGGGGTGGAGGTGGCACAGGGCAAGCCAGCTCCTGACATGTGAGTGGGGGAGGGAGGTGGGTGGGTGGGTGGGTGGGTGGGATGGATGATTCATGAATGCCATTCTGCTGTAGCAGGAAGTGCTGTTGTCGCATAACAAAGTGTTCCATGCACCGCTATCATAAAAAATAGAAAGAAACCATTCTTATCAGTGTCTTATCGTCCTTGTCCTAATTGTTATCAATTTTTATTAATCACCCCCTCCTGATTCCTCCCAGATTTTTGAGAGCTGCAGAGCTGATGGGAGCTAAGCCTTCGGAGTGCCTGGTGTTTGAGGACGCCCCGTGAGTGTGCTACTTCTAACTGAATGCCCCTGTGTGTGCTAATCGCAGGTCTCTGTGAGGGCGTGTGCTAATTGCACGTCCCTGCTCTGCGCGTGTGTGTGCTGATTGCACGTCTCTGTGAGAATGTGTGCTGATTGCATGACCCTATGCGAGACTGTGCTGATTGCACGTCCTCATCATTCTGCCCCCTCTTCCACTCCCATCATGAAACGGAAGTCGATTCCCTCTTGCAAAAGCACCTATCACCCCACCAGCATGTGCCCGTTCAATTCCCTTTCTCTCTCCTCCCCTGCATGGCTGCCTGTCTCTGCATCCATCACATACCACTACAGTTTCAGAAGGCCACTCGCATCTACTCACATCCTCAAACAGTCTCGTTCCCATGTCCTCTCATCCGCATTCCTCTCATCACACACGCCATTCCTTTCTCCTTCACCTCTTCCACTTTTCACCCCGTTTACGCCCCCTTCGGGCTATTCCTGGTTTTCCCGTCCTCTGTACTCCCCTTCAGTGCAGGTGTGCAGGCAGCCAGGGCAGCGGGCATGCATGTCGTGGCTGTGCCTTCTCTGCCACAGAAGGCTGCACGACCGCTCTACTCCTCCGCACACCAAGTATCCCTTCTGAACCCCTTCTGGGACCTCTCCCCCAGTCGAGCACTCTACTCTGTCCCAGTCACCCTCCTTCCTGGGCCGTTCCAAACCATAGGAACCAGTAGGCCGCGTCTCTCGTGGTACCAGATGGGAGTCACTTTTGAGAATTCTCAAAAGTCACGTGGTTACCGTGGTAGCTACCAGATGCGTGCGAGCTTTTGATTTGCCTCTGCGCCTCAGAGGTTGCCTTGCTGTGGTGGAGCTCACTTGTCATTGCTTCAATTTCCTTGCTGCTATGTTCTTCAGATGGATGGGTGCTTCCGCTGTGACTGAGACCGCATGTGTGTTTCCCCCTCCCCATTCCCACCTCCCCCCTCCCCACTCCCCCCTCCCCGCTCCCCCCTCCCCCCTCCCACCTCCCCCATTCCACCTTTGTCCGTTCAAATTGTGCTCCTCGTGTTTGCTCCCCTCCTCTCCCTTCCCCTCTCCTCCCCTCACCTCCCATCTCCTCCTCACTACTTTCCTCTCCTCTTCGTCGCTCGACTCTTTTTCTGCTCTTTCCAGTTCCATCCACATCTCTTATCCTAGCATCTTGCCTTCCTTGCTTTTGGATTTTTGTTTTTCTCCTCACCCTTTCTACAACTCTCCTCTCCTCCGCACGCCTCTCCTTGTTCCTTTCATCCTCTTCAACCCCAACTCTCCCCCTCCCTCTCCTTTCTCCCTCTCCCTCTCTCTCTCTCTCCCTCTCCCCTCTCTCCTCTCTCTCTTCTTCTCCCCTCTCCCTCGCCCTCACCCTCTCCCTTTCCCTCTCCCTCTCCCCCAACCCTTCCACGCAACCCACCAGATCCTTGCTTCACTTCTAGACTTCCAACCAACGGACTGGGGCCTACCACCCTTCACTGACTGTGAGTCATGCTCATTAGCACCAATCAACTTTTGAGGCGCCTCAAAAGTCACTACTAGACTTCCAACTTCCAACCAACGGACTGGGGCCTACCACCCTTCGCTTATTGTGAGTTATGCTCATCAGCACTAAACAGCAGAACTAATCATTCCCAAACTACCTCCTCGGGCTGACCTTGTGCATGATGCGCTTGCCGTTGGTTGAGTCGACTCAAAGCACGGGGCCTACCACCCTTCACTGACTGTGAGTCATGCTCATTAGCACCAAACAGCAGGAATATCCCCTGCTAACTACGTGCCATCATTCTCAAACTACCTCCTCGGGCTGACCTTGGGCACGCATGATGCACATGCCGTGATACATGTACGTACGTATGTATGGCATGCTGCACCTGGCATGCTGAGTCCATGTGACGTGAGCACCTGAAAGGGGTGAGGGCTCTCACTTAGAGCAGTGGGGCATCAGGGGGCACTGTGAGGGCCTAAATCACAACACAACAACTGCAGTCCACTTGCCTCACCTCTTGCAAACTATGCCATCCGGCACCCCCTTTGTGTCTTGACTCTTGACCTTCATCGTGACACCCTATAATGTCAAACATATTGGTGCAACGTTTGAGAATTCTCAATAGTCGCACCTATAATGTCAACCCTTGTCTGTCAGGTTCAGGCTGCGTGCCGAACTAAGTTCCCGCCTTGCTTGTCGCATGAAACAGCAAGACGTTTTTTTCTTTTCTTTTTTCGTCAGATTACAAGGTTACACCATCCAGCCACTTCCCAACCTCCCCGTCACCTCGTCCCCTTGCCGCCTTCCCAACCACCTCTAACTCTCCTTTTCGTCTCCTTTCGCCAAAACATAAGCTCACAAATTGTTCGTTTCCCAGTCCTCCCCTCCACCCCCTCACTTCTCTTCCCCACCATCCCCTTTTCCCTCCCCCGCCACCTCTTTCTCACCTCTCCATCCTCCCCTCCCCAACGTCCCCGTCCTCTCCCCACCCCCCCCCCCCCCCCCTCTTCCCAACTCTGTTCCCCTTCCCTACCTTCACCCTCTCCATTCCCCTCCTGTCACCTCGACTCTTACTCCAGGGGTGCATGCATCGCTGCCCATCGATCCATGGTACATGAAAGGGCCTGTCATCAAGGGCTACGGCAGGCAGGGGGTCCAAGATCCTAGGCATTCCCACCAATCCCCAATCCTCTCTTCTCCTTACCTCTTACCAACCACCTCTTTCTCTCCTTTTCCATTCCTCCCCTCCCCAACAACGCTTTCCCCCCTCGCTCTTCCCCCTTTCCCCAACCCTCCTCCCCCTTCACTCTCCTGCCACCTCGAACCCCCCTGCAGGGGTGCATGCATCGCTGCCCATCGATCCATGGTTCATGAAAGGGCCTGTCATCAAGGGCTGCGGCAGGGGATCCAAGATCCTAGGCATTCCCACAGGTGCGTGCATGCATGCGTGCGTGCGTGCGTGCGTGAGAGTGGGGGGGGCTTGTTTCTCGCTGCCGTATGCACAGGTCACTACATTATGGGGTGTCAAGGTCGCTGCATAGGTCGCTCCATAGGTTGTTCCGTTATCAAGGGTTATGGCAGGGGAACCAAGGCCCCTGTCATTCCCACTGGTGCCATGCTGAGGTCTTGGCTTGACATGGAGGGTCTTGTTACTCGCTGCCCTATTCACAGGTTGTTTCACGGGTCGTTTCGTACGTTGTCCACATGTGTTGTTCCATAGGTCGTCCTATGAGTCGTTCCGTGGGTCGTTCCATTGCACGGAGCAGGTGGTAACTGGCTGCTTGAGGGTAACCAGCTTCAAAACTGGCTCCTTGTGTTACTTGCAAGACGATTGCATCCCTTGCAGTAGCTGCCTATTGGGCCACTGCGCGTGCTCATGGGTCCTGCTGCTTTGAGCATGGGTTGCTGCTGCTGCTGTTGCTTGCTGATTTTGAACATGGGTCGGAGATTGGCTTGTTTAAAACGCGCACCTGTTGTTCCCTGCTCCAGTGATTCGTTTTGTGTTATTAGTGCACAGATTCACTCTTCCGCAGCATCTGCTATGATGCTATGCTATGGCGCTTGTGAATTTTTTTATTTGTTTTTCAATAATTCCTCCCTCCAATACAGACGTGTTGCTTCTCCTGTGAAGTGCCAGTCCGTCCCAGTTCTTCTCCTGTGACGTGTTGCTCTTTGTTTTATTACCTTGTCCCCCAAACCCAAACCTACCTGCCCTCATCCTGTCTGCATTGTGCCTAGGATAACACATGTGGGATTAACCACAGGTGGGACAGAGGCACGCTCGTAATAATCAAGCCTCCTACCTCACTTCCTGCCTCCTCAATCCCTTGTCTCTCCTCCTCCTCCCACCCCCACCCCCCCCCCCCACACCCCTCTCCACACATTCTCCTCTAAACCTACACCTCCCTCCCCTCTCCATCCTGCACCAGCCAACCTGCCGTCCTCATCATTCGCAGGGCACCTGGCAGAGCACACGTGTGGGATCTACCATGGGTGGGCCAGAGGCTACCTTTGTAACAATAATCCAGCCAGCCACCGATCGTCCTTCCTTCCTCCCCATCCCCTATCTTTCCCTTCTCCACGTCACAATCCCCTCCTCCTTTCCTCTCTCCCTTCCTCACTCCCCCCGCCCCATCCCCTACCAGCCAACCTGCCGTCCTCATCATTCGCAGGGCACCTGGCAGAGCACACGTGTGGGATCTACCATGGGTGGGCCGCCTTGCCGGGGAGGGGCGTATTTAAGATGGTTATGAGCGTGGGCTGGAATCCCTTCTTTAACAACACGCATAAGACAGTGGTGGGTGCGAGTGTGTGCATCTGTGTATTGTGCGTGCGTGCGCGCGTGGCGTGGGTGGGTGGGTGTGTGGGTTGGGTGCTTAGGTGTATGGGAGCTCGGGTGGATGGGTGCTCGGGTGGATGGGAGCTCGGGTGGATGGGTGCTCGGGTGGATGGGTGCTCGGGTGGATGGGTGCTCGGGTGGATGGGTGCTCGGGTGGATGGGTGCTCGGGTGGATGGGAGCTCGGGTGGATGGGTGCTCGGGTGGATGGGTGCTCGGGTGGATGGGTGCTCGGGTGGATGGGTGCTCGGGTGGATGGGTGCTCGGGTGTATGGGTGCTCGGGTGGATGGGTGCTCGGGTGGATGGGTGCTCGGGTGGATGGGTGCTCGGGTGTATGGGTGCTCGGGTGGATGGGTGCTCGGGTGTATGGGTGCTCGGGTGGATGGGTGCTCGGGTGTATGGGTGCTCGGGTGGATGGGTGCTCGGGTGGATGGGTGCTCGGGTGTATGGGTGCTCGGGTGGATGGGTGCTCGGGTGTATGGGTGCTCGGGTGTATGGGTGCTCGGGTGTATGGGTGCTCGGGTGGATGGGTGCTCGGGTGGATGGGTGCTCGGGTGTATGGGTGCTCAGGTGGATGGGTGCTCGGGTGTATGGGTGCTTTGGTGGATGGGTGCTCGGGTGTATGGGTGCTCGGGTGGATGGGTGCTCGGGTGTATGGGTGCTCGGGTGGATGGGTGCTCGGGTGGATGGGTGCTCGGGTGTATGGGTGCTCGGGTGGATGGGTGCTCGGGTGTATGGGTGCTCGGGTGGATGGGTGCTCGGGTGTATGGGTGCTCGGGTGGATGGGTGCTCGGGTGGATGGGTGCTCGGGTGTATGGGTGCTCGGGTGGATGGGTGCTCGGGTGTATGGGTGCTCGGGTGTATGGGTGCTCGGGTGTATGGGTGCTCGGGTGGATGGGTGCTCGGGTGGATGGGTGCTCGGGTGTATGGGTGCTCGGGTGGATGGGTGCTCGGGTGGATGGGTGCTCGGGTGGATGGGTTCTCGGGTGGATGGGTGCTCGGGTGGATGGGTGCTCGGGTGTATGGGTGCTCGGGTGTATAGGTGCTCGGGTGGATGGGTGCTCGGGTGCATGGGTTCTCGGGTGGATGGTTGCTCGGGTGGATGGGTGCTCGGGTGTATGGGTGCTCGGGTGTATGGGTGCTCGGGTGGATGGGTGCTCGGGTGTATGGGTGCTCGGGTGGATGGGTGCTCGGGTGGATGGGTGCTCGGGTGTATGGGTGCTCGGGTGGATGGGTGCTCGGGTGGATGGGTGCTCGGGTGTATGGGTGCTCGGGTGGATGGGTGCTCGGGTGTATGGGTGCTCGGGTGGATGGGTGCTCGGGTGGATGGGTGCTCGGGTGTATGGGTGCTCGGGTGGATGGGTGCTCGGGTGGATGGGTGCTCGGGTGGATGGGTGCTCGGGTGTATGGGTGCTCGGGTGGATGGGTGCTCGGGTGGATGGGTGCTCGGGTGGATGGGTTCTCGGGTGGATGGGTGCTCGGGTGGATGGGTGCTCGGGTGTATGGGTGCTCGGGTGTATGGGTGCTCGGGTGGATGGGTGCTCGGGTGTATGGGTGCTCGGGTGGATGGGTGCTCGGGTGGATGGGTGCTCGGGTGGATGGGTGCTCGGGTGTATGGGTGCTCGGGTGTATGGGTGCTCGGGTGGATGGGTGCTCGGGTGGATGGGTGCTCGGGTGTATGGGTGCTCGGGTGGATGGGTGCTCGGGTGTATGGGTGCTCGGGTGGATGGGTGCTCGGGTGGATGGGTGCTCGGGTGTATGGGTGCTCGGGTGGATGGGTACTCGGGTGGATGGGTGCTCGGGTGGATGGGTGCTCGGGTGTATGGGTGCTCGGGTGTATGGGTGCTCGGGTGGATGGGTGCTCGGGTGGATGGGTGCTCGGGTGTATGGGTGCTCGGGTGGATGGGTGCTCGGGTGTATGGGTGCTCGGGTGGATGGGTGCTCGGGTGGATGGGTGCTCGGGTGTATGGGTGCTCGGGTGGATGGGTTCTCGGGTGGATGGGTGCTCGGGTGGATGGGTGCTCGGGTGAATGGGTGCTCGGGTGTATGGGTGCTCGGGTGGATGGGTGCTCGGGTGTATGGGTGCTCGGGTGGATGGGTGCTCGGGTGGATGGGTGCTCGGGTGTATGGGTGCTCGGGTGTATGGGTGCTCGGGTGGATGGGTGCTCGGGTGGATGGGTGCTCGGGTGTATGGGTGCTCGGGTGGATGGGTGCTCGGGTGTATGGGTGCTCGGGTGGATGGGTGCTCGGGTGGATGGGTGCTCGGGTGGATGGGTGCTCGGGTGGATGGGTGCTCGGGTGGATGGGTGCTCGGGTGGATGGGTGCTCGGGTGGATGGGTGCTCGGGTGGATGGGTGCTCGGGTGGATGGGTGCTCGGGTGGATGGGTGCTCGGGTGGATGGGTGCTCGGGTGGATGGGTGCTCGGGTGGATGGGTGCTCGGGTGGATGGGTGCTCGGGTGGATGGGTGCTCGGGTGGATGGGTGCTCGGGTGTATGGGTGCTCGGGTGGATGGGTGCTCGGGTGTATGGGTGCTCGGGTGGATGGGTGCTCGGGTGGATGGGTGCTCGGGTGGATGGGTGCTCGGGTGGATGGGTGCTCGGGTGGATGGGTGCTCGGGTGGATGGGTGCTCGGGTGGATGGGTGCTCGGGTGGATGGGTGCTCGGGTGGATGGGTGCTCGGGTGGATGGGTGCTCGGGTGGATGGGTGCTCGGGTGGATGGGTGCTCGGGTGGATGGGTGCTCGGGTGGATGGGTGCTCGGGTGGATGGGTGCTCGGGTGGATGGGTGCTCGGGTGGATGGGTGCTCGGGTGTATGGGTGCTCGGGTGGATGGGTGCTCGGGTGGATGGGTGCTCGGGTGTATGGGTGCTCGGGTGTATGGGTGCTCGGGTGGATGGGTGCTCGGGTGGATGGGTGCTCGGGTGTATGGGTGCTCGGGTGGATGGGTGCTCGGGTGTATGGGTGCTCGGGTGGATGGGTGCTCGGGTGGATGGGTGCTCGGGTGTATGGGTGCTCGGGTGGATGGGTGCTCGGGTGGATGGGTGCTCGGGTGGATGGGTGCTCGGGTGTATGGGTGCTCGGGTGTATGGGTGCTCGGGTGGATGGGTGCTCGGGTGGATGGGTGCTCGGGTGTATGGGTGCTCGGGTGGATGGGTGCTCGGGTGTATGGGTGCTCGGGTGGATGGGTGCTCGGGTGGATGGGTGCTCGGGTGTATGGGTGCTCGGGTGGATGGGTTCTCGGGTGGATGGGTGCTCGGGTGGATGGGTGCTCGGGTGAATGGGTGCTCGGGTGTATGGGTGCTCGGGTGGATGGGTGCTCGGGTGTATGGGTGCTCGGGTGGATGGGTGCTCGGGTGGATGGGTGCTCGGGTGTATGGGTGCTCGGGTGTATGGGTGCTCGGGTGGATGGGTGCTCGGGTGGATGGGTGCTCGGGTGTATGGGTGCTCGGGTGGATGGGTGCTCGGGTGTATGGGTGCTCGGGTGGATGGGTGCTCGGGTGGATGGGTGCTCGGGTGGATGGGTGCTCGGGTGGATGGGTGCTCGGGTGGATGGGTGCTCGGGTGGATGGGTGCTCGGGTGGATGGGTGCTCGGGTGGATGGGTGCTCGGGTGGATGGGTGCGTGGGTGGATGGGTGCTCGGGTGGATGGGTGCTCGGGTGGATGGGTGCTTATGTTGAACCTCCTTCCCCACCTTCTCTTCCTCCCATCTCCACCCCTCACTAGCACTGGTTGCTGTGGGTGTGTGAACACTGGACTCTCTTCTCCCCTTGCCCATGCTTCCACTCTCATCCACAGCCTTTCTCCTTCTCCTCACATCTCCTCTCCTCTCCCCTTTTCTCCTGTCCTCATATCTCCTCTCCTCTCCTCGCTTCTCCTCTCCTCTCCTCTCCTCTCCTCTCCTCTCCTCTTCCCTCCCCTCCTCTCCTCATCTCCTATTCTCCTCCTGTCGTCTCCTCATCTTCTCATCTCGTCATCTCCTCACCTCGTTTCCTCTCTCCTCTCTTCTCTTCCCCCTCTCCCCTCAGGAGCCCTGGCTGCTGCATGACTTCGGGGAGGACTTCTACAGGGAAGAGCTAAGGCTGCTTTCGAGTCGACTCAAAAGTTTCCCTCTCTTCCCCCTCTCCCCTTAGGAGCCCTGGCTGTTGCATGACTTTGGAGAGGACTTCTACGGGGAAGAGCTAAGGCTGCTGGTTGTGGGGTACATTCGTGCAGAGGTGAGGCTGGGGGTAGGGGAATGGCAAGTGGGCAAGGGGAAAACGGAGGTAAAATGCTTTCAGATTATACGAACACGGCACCTTTTAATAGCACTGTACTGTACTGATGAGGGCACATCAGCCATCCTTTTAATAGCACTGTACTGTCCTGTCTCTCATGATGTGTCTTCAGAATGACCAGTTGACCCAGTGCACCCTCCTATCTTCTCCCCTTGCCCACCCCTCCCCCCTCACTGATTCCCCTTTCATCCTCCGTTTTCCTTTTGTCTACATTCCATTTTCCTGTGCGCAGGCTGACTTCCCTGACCTGCCTTCATTTATTGCACGCATTCACCAGGATGGGGAGATCGCACGCAAAGCTCTAGACCACCCACCCTTCGCTGTATACAGGACTGACCCTTTCCTCAATATCCCTTAATGCGCAGGAATGTGCAATTTAATTCCTTGCACGTGAGAATGTGCAATTTGTGTAGAAGGTTATGGCTAAGAAAGGTTCAGCACATTGCAATACAGGTTTTCCATTTTTGTACCCTTTTCACAGCAGCGAAGCCTAAATAGAACATTGGCTGCACTAACGGGACATAAGGGTAACTATTTCATGACTCGATTTCTACCATCAAGTAGATAACATTATAAAAGATAGATTCCCAACCCCACACTGCTTCCCAGCTACTCCTGACAGCACCAGTCTTTGCTAACAAAAGAACTGACTCAATAGACAAGAGACCAAAAGATGGAGCAGTAATGTGAAGCACCACTAACTGGAAGAATGCAGTATGGATAGTTTGATGTGGAAAGACAAGCTCCATGCCAGCTGCCTCCTCTGGCGGACTATCGCATCTCCAGTGCTGCTTCACACCAACCTCCCTCCAATGAACAGACGCTCTAATGCTAATGCATGTGCACATGAGATCAGTCACCTGATCAACGTTCCACCTCACCAATAATAGAGCCGAGCAATCCCTCCTGCTAAAACTTGCTGGACGTTTAAACGGCCTGAGATGTGGCCATGGGCTTGCTAGGGTGAATGAGCATGTTGCACAGTTAAGCACAACAGTTGGAAGCAGCAGGTGCAGGAGCGGATGTGTCTCGAATATTGAGATTACTTGGTTTCTGCATCCAAGGCGAAGGGGTCAAATACATCGAAGGGCGGGAGAGAATTAAGCAAACATTTGGCGAGTCACACATAACAAGTACCATACGATACCATATAATAGAAAGAAAAAAAAGGTGGAGGGTAGGCAGGTCAGAAGCGATATGCGTACCTCCGTGTTGGCTGCGTGTGTAGCTTCATAACGCTTTTTGCTCTCTCTGGCAATACACACAAAGGCCTCTTCGACATTGATATCAGCCTTAGCAGACTGCACCGACAAATAAACATATCAGGGAATGATCAATGCAATGAAAGAAAAGTGAAAGTGGAAGTCCCTGGATTGCATGACGTACAGTTTCAAAGAAGTTGATTTTAAACTCGTTCGCAAGTTGCTGCCCCTGGTCCTTCGTCACCACCTGCACATATAGCAAACTAGGCTCATAAGTAATTGTCCAGCAACCTAACACAGCAAGAATGAAGACACTTACCCGTCGATCCTCCATATCAGCCTTGTTGCCAACCAAGATCTTGCAAACGCTCTCAGAAGCATGCTCCTCAATGTTTCGGATCCAACCACGAATGCCTGCAATTTAGAAGGAAATGTGACACAAATCACGCTTCCAGTTACGAAAAAAAAAAGGGTGAAAATATCATGGAACAAAAGTGCGGCCCTTACTGTTGAAGGACGACTCGCTGGTGATGTCGTAGACAAGAACGATACCGTTAGCCCCGCGATAATAAGCTGCACAGAAGTGAGGGAATGAGCTTAGCCCGAATGATCTCTTCGTGCCCAAAACTCCCAGAAATTGAGAAGTACAACGAGAAAAAAAATACCTGCAGTGATAGTACGGAAACGCTCCTGTCCTGCTGTATCCCAGATCGACAGCTTCACTTGTTCCCCATCGATATCAATGGTGCGAGTCTTGAAATCGACACTGCAACATAGCACATGCGTCACGATAGGCACAAGAGAAACTTCCTCGTCGATTTAACATCAAAAACAGACCACGATGACTCGAAAACTCAATGCTACAATGACTACATGCAAATTTACTCTAACTAGCACAACCAGGCATGCTGCTCAGCGCATTTCCGCGAACAAGCAATATGGACATTGAATCACATGCATGCCTCGTCCGAACATAAGCGGCGTTATAAATATAAACGGCAAGCATATGCAATTCAATCACAATCAGATCTGGAATGCTTTAATACAGATCCGGGAAAAAGGTTCCAACGTACCCAATGGTTGATATGAAAGTGTGACTAAAAGAATCTTCTGCGAACCGTAGCAGCAAACTAGATTTTCCGACAGCTGCGAAGTGATTGATTGCACAAAAGATCAGGACAAGGAAAAATGAAAACAAAAAAAAACCATCAGAAGAGCGGCAACAACGCAACATGAGCAGAACAAAGGAAGGAGGACTGAAGGAATCTGGATGATGAACAGGCTACTGCTTCTCGCACTGCAACAATGAAGGGAAAGAGCGACGAAGCGAAGAGCCCCTTGACGTAGCTAGAAATCCAGGAAAGCAAAACGTCCGAGGAAAAACACCGCTATGAGGTCGGAAAGGGCAACAAGGAATTGGCAAAAGGGAGAGTAACTAGTAAGGGGGTAGTGAAGTAGCTACGGTAAGTTGAAAGGAGAACCAAGTGAACGCCTATTGTGACTACGGTTTCATAATGCGGTGAAATACAGCGAAACGGAAAAAATATCCTTCGTAACAGAACTCGCAAAACCTAAAAAGGGCCACAAATTAATGCGGATCCGCGACTTTACCACTATCTCCGATCAGGAGGAGCTTGAGTCTGGTTTCTCCGTGCTTGCGTCCAGTTGACATGATTCGAGCCGGAATAAAAACCAAAACGTGGACGTTAGCAGCAGATTGAGCTACTAAATGAGCAGATCACAGCCTGAAAAGGTAGCTTTCAGAGGCTATGGCGAATGTTGATGTCCTAGGCAGGAGGCAGGTAAGATGTGCAGGTGAGATGCTGGAGAGGAGGCTCGGACATCAAGAAATAGAAATGTGGGAATGAGGCAGATCCACTCCGTCACGTCAAGGGCACCAACCAAACCCTCGTTTTCACGCCTCTACTCTTCCTGGAAGGCTTGATTGGTCGTCATCAGTGACGGGCTACCAGATCTCGCCACAACGTACTGCAGCAGCACATGGATGGGAGCAAATGAGGTATGGCCTTCCCCCAGCCCTAGCGGTGTGGTGGGCCCGCCAGATTTTAGCGGAACCTATTGCCTGAACAAGCCTGCGGAACCCGAAGGACTTGAGCTGACAATACCCCTACGTTCGGTTTGACCGGAGCTTTTCCCGCCTTGCTGCGGGACAACCGAACCTCATCACGATGGCGTGATGACTGGGGCACGAAAACAATCTTGCCCAGAAACTAGCTTCGGTCGCTGATTTATTGGAGTCTCACCGCAGCTTGCTTCCTGAACCAACGGTGTAGCAAACTCGGCCAGCTTCGACTTGCATCCGAGCCTGGCCTGAGCCTCGTGCAAGGCTCCCCACCATGGGAGACATACAGACAGAGAGTTCCTCAGGTGCGAACATACCCCATAATGCATGCGTTGAGGTAAAATACCGCCACAAAGTAGAAATAAGGTGAATACAAAAGAACTTTATTTCTTCCAACACCACGGTAAGACAAGGCTCTCAAATTAATTGAAATGTTTATGCTTAATAATATTTTTAGGCGAATTTACTTATGTTTTTTTAGATTTGTATTATTCGACTCAGTAAGCGTTATCTTTAGAGTTAATAATTTTGTTGTAGCAAGTATATGCTCGGTGATATCATCCGTAAGAGGAAAAATGTCTTGTAGCTATTCGCGTTTGGCTACACTAGAAGTACCCGTTAGAAGTACGACTAAGAAATGTGAATAATGCTGAAACCCCAAAAGCCATGGATGGCTTGACGAATGGTTATACCGGGTATAAGCGCCCGGGGGCTTTTACAATAGAATACGTTTTCTATGTGATGCGCTTATAATGGATGTTTTTTGTAAGTGCCAGGGTTGAAATAATAGCCAAAAGGAAATGATTTATTTAGATATCAAATTGAAACGTTTTCAAATGCGGATTCCATCCACACGAAAACCCTCGAAAACTTGCAACAGACACAAGTGATTTTGTCAACTGGGTGTGGATTCATGCCTTTTACGCCTTATTGGCAAGGCCACGTTCATCGAACATGTACGTAGCCCATGCCAGAGCACACGCAACTCGACACATGACTGCCCAACAAACAGTCGCATGCAATTTAGGGCATGTCATGGTTAAGCCAAGACGTGCCTTCTGGAGCAAGTTTCCCCGCCACCGACGCTAAAATCTGCCTAGCTCAGCTCCATATCTGGAAATTTTGACCATGAGGCACTATTCATGGCAGAGGAACCCAGACCGCGAAGTAGGAGTGGTCTCGAGCAAGGGTTTCAAACCGCCCTTCTTCTCGTCTCTCCCTTCACTTTTCTTTTCTCGTTTGGTCTGCCTTGGCCATGGCGGGCCTTCCATGCACTCATTTCTTGTTTAGGCACCCACCCTTTGCAACCTTTTATTGTGATCACTCGGTATGGAAGAGTCGCCCAGCACCTATGCCTCCAGCACCATCAGCCCCGCCTGGCCCTCCAGCACCTCCAGCACCTCCTACTCCTTACGCTCCTCCAGCTCCACCTGTGCCTCCGCGCCTACCATCGTTTTGAAGGAAACTAGCTCATCGGCGTTCGATGGATACTTGTCCGTGTGAAAGATAGAACGAGGAAAGATTGCATTGAGCAGCTTGAGGAGTACAAGTAGGAAACCCTAAAGTCTTGTACCCCATATGAACTATCCCACTGCAGCCTACACAGACTATAGCATATAAATTTGACACACCCCCATAGGCAAAGTGGGGGAGAACAAGAGGTCACAAGACCAGTCAAGAAAGGCAAAGCAAGCTCAGGGTGGATCACGACGTCACCATGCATTCTGAGCACAAGCAAATGGCCACAAGGCCAATTCACATGCAGAGTTATATAAACTAGAACAAGCAATACAATGATCACAACCTAGCAAGTGTAAGCATGTAGATATATGTATAGAGATCATAGTACAAGCAAAGTCAAGAAGTAAGCAAGTGAGGCCCAGTGGGCACAAGGCCTAGAACCGTACAGAAACGCTGATGATCAGAAGGCTGAAGTGCCTTGGTGAAGACATCAGCAGTGTTGGACCGAGTGGCCACGTAAGCAAGACGAAGCTGACCACGCTACTGCAACTCTCGAGCAAGGAAGTAGCGCAGAGCGATGTGCTTCGTCCTCTGCTCCAGTCTGTGCTACTG